GCCTAGGGCCCCAAAGGGTCCAAAGTACCTTTATGGTAGAATGTTGGGTTTCTGTGTTAGGAAGTACTACTATGATTTACTTGGAGGTTCATGGATACTTATAAGTAGGGTTATAAGTCCCCTAATATGGGTCATAATTATAGTTACCCTTTATAACTACCCATGAACCTCCAAGTAGGAAAGTATCCCCCAGAACAGTGCATGGGACCCTTTGGGCAGCAAGGATGATCCTGTACGAGTCCTCCACCTGCCCACATGGTCGGCCGGATCCCTTCGTTGGGCGAGCATTTGGGCAGCAAGAGCTGTGTAATGGATCAGGTTTAGGGTTTAGGGTTTAGGGTTTAGGGGGGTATACTTATACTTCCTACAAGTGGCTCAGTCTAAGAGTCCAGCGCTGTGAATTTACATGGCTTCGAGCCTCCTAATTCGGGAAGCTAAAGGTCTAAGGGCGTAAGGTTGGAAGTTATGCTGGAGTGTTGGGTCTTTTGCAGTGAGAACCTACCAGAACCCAGAAACCTAAAACCCTAATCTGTAAGCACTACAGCAAGCCCCTGAACCTTAAACCGTTTCATTGTACTACGCGAAAAGTCGGCGGACTCTGTCAGCGCGAGATTTTGTTGTTTCTGAGTTTTTCTATTTTCGGATTATGCTTGGTACTCCCCACAGCAAAGCGTCCGTGGGTGACCGTCCACCATCCCAAAACCGCAAAGTGTAATTTGATAAAACATGTTAAAACTAATGGTGTATGTGGGGGTTTAGGTCTTTAGGTTTGCAAGGTCTGGGACTCACTGTGTTAGTGAGATTTTTGGCAGATGCAATGGAAATAGATCGGCCAAGAGAGGCTGGATGATAATAAGTGGGGTCCGGCCATCTATGGATTTCGTCAGATTCCTGCCTGCATATGTAAACTGTATGGCCAAAGTGCCTACTACGTAGATAAACCCTAAACCCCAAACCCTAAAACCCTAAGCCGCCACAGTACATACTACGTAGATACATGGGTACGTGGAGCAGCATTCTTCGTGCTAACAGGGCTTTGGGTTCAGGGTTAGTCAGGGTTTAGGGTTGAGTGCTTAGGGGCCTCATTATACAGTTACAACAAGGTTTTGGAGGGATCTTATATTACGATCGTGCACAGGGACCCTACCTAGACAGCGAGCGGAACCAGGGATATTACTATTACTATCATGTACATCTCCGGATGCCTACATTACTCAGGAGATGGCGAACATCTTCGTACCTCGGCGGCCAGACTGAGTAGATGGTTTAGGGGTTTAGGGTTGAGGGGTTTAAGGCTCTTGGTTTAGGCTTCAAAATTTAGGGATTTTCAGCCTGAAGCATATTGGCCTTTTGCAGTTTACGTAACACTCCAGCAGCAGCAGAAACAGTCAGCAGCAGCAGCAGCAGCAGCAACCCACCGCCGCCACCACCACCAACAACAACAGCAGCAGCAACAACAACAACAACATCAACATCAACATCCACATTATAATCTCCATCATCAGCAGTAGCCTCAGCATCGTCATCATCGTCATCGTCATCATCGTCATTATCATCCTCATCATCATCATCAGCATCACCCTCATCTTCATCTTCTTCTTCTTCATCATTATCATCATCATTATCTTCATCATCAGCATCAGCATCAGCATCAGCATCAGCATCAGCATCAGCATCAGCATCAGCATCATCATCATCATCATCATCATCATCATCATCATCATCTTCATCGTCATCGTCATCGTCGTCATCGTCATCGTCATCGTCATCGTCATCGTCATCGTCGTCGTCCTCCTCATCATCATCATCATCATCATCAACATCATCATCATCATCATCAGCATCACCACCATCATCATCAACATCATCATCATCATCATCATCACCATCATCATCACAGCCACCATCATCATCATCATCATCATCATCATCATCATCATCAAGCAACTGAAGCAACATCAACAACAGCAACCGCTACAACAGCAACCTAAACCCTAAACCCCCTAAATCCCCTAAGCCCTAAACCCTTAAACCCTAAACCCTAAACCTCTAAACCCCTAGACCGTAAACCCGAAGTCAGGTGCACTTCAAACCTCGCGGCTGGCTGGAAGCCTCGAGGCAAAGCCAAAAGCCTCAGGACGGAGCTGCGCCGCCCTGGTGGCTGAGGGGTTGATGCGACTTCGGTTTCAGGATTTAGGGTTTAGTATTTAGGGCTTAGTATTTAGGGCTCAGGGTTTAGGGTTTAGGATGTAGGGTTTAGAGTTAGGATTTAGGGTTCAGGGGTAGGCCTCAGTGTACGGAGCTTATTTAAGACTTCATGTTTTTTCTCAATTGAATTGCGGTCTCAGTGGCTTAGGGTTTCGGGGTGTAGGGTTAAGCGTTTTAGAGTTTGGGGTTAGGGGGGCAATGTAGGGGCCTAAATAATTACTAATAGCTCCTGATTAAAAATACAGTATACTGGGCCCCAAAACCCTAGTCTAATTATTAAGGCCCCCCTATTAAAGGGTTTAACGCAGGGTTGGGGGCCGTCTAGGAGGCACCGGGGAACTGGTGTAAGAAGCTTAAGATGCGCGCAAGCCTCGGGAGTGGAGTCTGAATAACCATGGCTTAGGAAGTCAGTGTGTTTCGGCACAGAGTACCCTCAACTTGAGCCATACATCATAGTTACATGATCACATCGCCCCTAAGCATTATCCAGAGTTTGTTAAAGCTGCATGTGTCCCAAGCCGGAAGCATATCTGGCCGCGGCGCGCTTGTAGCATGTAGGTCGGAACCCTTTGTATACTCCGTCCGTCCGTCCGACCGTGCGCCCGTCTGTCTACATGCATGCATGCATGTCTGCATGGGTGTATGTGTGTACCAACCCATCCCCAAACCCCAAATCCCGAAATCGTAGATTCCAAACGAGAAACACTAATTCCACAACGTTTCGCCTTTGTCGCTCACAAGCTAAGCTGGGCTAAGGCCTAAATCCGGCAACCACGGCTTCCCCATAGCCGACACGGTTTAGGGTTTAGGGTTTAGGGTTTAGGGTTTAGGGTTTAGGGTTTAGGGGTTTAGGGTTTAGGGTTCTTGCACAGTGTATCCTTGTCTATATTGGGTTTAGGGTTTGGGGAGGAAGGCGCGGTTATCCGCGTCAGGAGAAGAAGGGATCCCTAAACCCTAAACCCTAAACCCTAAACCCTAAATCCCTAAACCCTAAACCCTAAACCCTAAGCCCTAAACCGATTCTTCCATGGAGCCAGCTTTGGCATGTCAGGAGTGTGGCAGCGGCCTAGCCGGTGAGGATGCTTCGTGCAGCTACTCCTGACCCAAGGAAAAGCCTGTCTGTGTTTCTGGGTTCAGAGTATCAGGCTTAGGAGTTCAGGGTTTAGGGTTTAGGGTTTAGGGGTTTAGGGTATCAGGCTTAGGGGTTCAGGGTTTAGGGTATCAGGCTTATCCAAGGGCTGTAGGAGGGACCCTTAATGGGGACCCATGTAGGTTACTGGGGTTATTTTTGAGACTACCTGGCTATATAAGGGGTATATAAGGATTATACAATGGTTATTATTTAAGGTAATGGGATTAAGGGTCCCTATTAGGGGTCCTTCCTAAAGTCCTTAGAGCTTTGGGGTTCAGGGTTTCGGGTATCAGGCTTAGGGGCTTTGGGTTTACGGTATCAGGGTTTGGAGTTTAGGCCTTAGGGCTTTAGGATTTGAGTGGCTTCTTGAAGTGATAAAGCATACAGATACAAAGTCCTGGCAGCCCTGGCACCACAGGCTTCCTGGTTCCATGTGCAAGCCTTTTAGGGTTTAGGGTTTAGGGTCTCAAGCATCCTTAAAAACTCGCAAAGCAACCCTGCAAAAGTCAGAAAACCCTGAACGATACCCTGATACGATGAAGTAATCCCTTAAAGACCCCTAAACCTAATCTTCAAAACAAATTAAGTCTTCACTGAACCCTAAACCCTAAACCCTGAAAGCTTGAGAAGCCCTAAACCCTAAACCCGAAGCCCTAATCCCTAAACGTAGGGTTTAGGGCTTAGAGTTTAGGGCTTTAGGGTTTAGGGTTTAGGGTATACTTACACCCTAAACCTAAAAACCCTAGACTCTCTTCGACGTCGAAGCCTTGGCTCAGCCAGGAGGCCATGGCCAACGTAGTCGAAGATGCAAAAGAAACTGAAAGGGCTCAGTGCTACCTTTAAGGTGAGTTTGCTTTTTAAGAGTTATAGTTACTACAAGGGTTATAGGCAGTATAAGAGCTACTTTAGTGGGCAGTGCTGGGGATTTTTGAGATTTGTTGTAGAACACTTGGAAGGAGCACCGCGCAGTACCGACATGCATGCACCTGCAAATGCGAACCCCAAACCCCTAAACCCGAAAACCCTAAACCCCTAAACCCGAAACCAGAAACCCCTGAAACCCTAAACCCGAAGTCCTAAACCCTAAACCCCCCAAACCCTAAACCCCAAGCTCCAATATGCCACGGCAGCCCGCAACGCATGCCCAAAGCCGCAAGGGTTCAGCCTTCAGATCCGCAGCAAGCATAAAGCCAGCAGCCCATCCTCTGACTGGCCATGTTGCGTCTTCTCTTCGTGGTATGTGCTCCCTGGCATCGGAACTAGTTACTTGGAGGTTCATGGGTA